CATCATCCTTCCAGGTGGGTTTTCGGAGCTACCTCCAGCAAGACACAGGTCACAACTCCAATCCGTATCCTCGACGTCGTAGCCGACAACTGCGCAGTGAAAGTGGTACCAACTATCACAACTGTCGCATTGAACCCAGCTTTCCTAAGTTCCTATCGCTTTTTTCTTGCATATTCTACACACTTCTTTGCTCATCTCAATTCACTTTTTAGGGTTATGTGAACTTGGCGTGTGGCGGAATTGTATTTGTGTGCGTAATTTCTGTGGTTTTTTGGCTCCGTTTACGTATTACGTTTTACTCACTTTACGTTCAAGAAAGGGATGCGATCGCGATTTCACAATATTATGGCTAATTGGAAATGCGACGCTTCGTAATTGTACAGTTATAACGGCAACCGGTTGTGCACAAAGTTTTTAAGAATGTTGAGAGTGAAACTAAATTGTTTTTACAGCAGCCCACACCACTCACTCGAAAGCACAGACGGAGAGCAGTAAATTTAAAATTAACTTTATTTAAATTTAAGCTTCCGAATCGATGTGTATTACAGTTTGCGTTGCGTAGCACGCTTAAAAACTCTGTCTTTTTTCCTTCTCTTATTCGCTTCTGTCATTTTTTGAGATGGTTCTTAACAACGTAATGGGATCGATATTCCTTACAACGATATCTCGATGTTTATATCGAGTGCTTATATATAACATAAAGAAATCCAAATTAAATTTAAATAATTGCGGCAACATTAGTAATTGATTATAACTAGGTTTATTCGTCTTTGACTTTCAAAGTGAACGGTCGTGTTTTTTTTCTGCGCTTCGAATTATGTATTTTGTTTTCGTTTATTCCCATCGGTGGGTTTTAAAAAAAACAATTTTAATTTTCTTCCGGTTATTCAAACATAAATTTAAACTCCGTTCGCCTCGCGAGTGCACTTTGTATTAATACTAATAAATTGTTTTAGTTTTCGTTATTCTTATCTGTGTTTTCTTTTCTTATATCCCCGCCGTTTTTCTTTTGTGCATGCACTTTAACTTATTTACGCTCCCACTCTCTTTCTCTCTTTGCTTTGAAAGTTCTAAGCGTGCAGTTTCTGCGCTCTTACGGTACTTATAACTGCTCGCTTATAAATTTCAATTCGCTTTCTTGGTACAGTGGTCCCAATAAATAAAATGAATAATAAAAATTTAGTCTGCTTCTACAAAAAATGCAGCCTCGTAATCAGGGCTGACCAGTCTAATATGACTTGCTGGCTGTGTGAAAATATGGTGCACACCAAGTGCGCCGGTTTTACTGGCCGGACAAGTGATGACCTTTCAAAGGGGCCCAATTTGCAGTTTTGTTGTGACGCTTGTGTTCATGAAATCGAGATGAAATCGTTCATGCGCCAAACTAAAAGCGGCCTGATGGGGCTGATTAGCTGTTTCTGAGTTGCTAGAGATAGTTTTCGCTGAGCTGATGATCTCCTCTCTGCGTCGTTAACAGTCGTAAGCTATTAGAAGAGTCCCCTAAGCGCAAAAAGGCCGCTGGTGGTAAGGCGCAAAAGGGGAACACCCCGCAACCGAAATCAAAAAAACAACAGAGCATTCTGGCGGATCAGCAGCTGATTTCAGCAAACCCTCAAATGTTGCTAAGATCAGCAGCTAAAAAAGATTCGGTATCCGAACAATCCGTTACAGAATGCATGCATCCAGGGACTTCTAAGAATTCCGATTTGTACGTAGTGGTTTCACAATTAGTGAATCCACCTATCTCTCAGAATGTAGCATCCCCACCACAAGGGACTACTGAGTCCGGACAACCGGCTCAAGTTGGTTTTGCAGAAACAATGTCTGCTCCCCCAAATCCCTTTCAGTGGTTCCACTAAAGAAACAAATTTTCGTTTCTCGGCTTTCCCCTGATCAAACATCTTGTGATATATTGTCTTATATACAAGACAAAACTAAAGCCGATTGTAATAGTGTAAAGGTGGAAAAGTTTAAGTTTTCTTATGCTAGAGACATTTCATCTTTCAAGATAACTGTCCCTAACGAGCTTTTTGAAGCCATATGCTCGGGCGACTTTTGGCCGGATAATATGGTTCGTAAAAGAGTTCGAGGCTAAGATAAAGAAGAAGGGGTCCGTGGGAGTAAAACTTCCTAGTCGAGGCCAAACCAGTGTACCAATTTCAAAAAACTGACTTCTAACCTCCTTCTTTCCTATCAGAATGCAAGAGGTTTGCGTAGCAAACTCACTAAATTGTATTCCGATAGCCTTTCCTTTGCATCTCATATTATTGTGTTCACAGAAACCTGGTTATAGCCGGAGATCTTTAGCTCCGAAGTTTTTCCAGGTAAGTGCACAATATATAGGTATGACCGTCCCTTTAGACGGAGAGGTGGAGTCTTAATTGGAGTTGATTCAAACCTCCCGTCTGAGGAGTTATTTTTTGATGAATTCAATACCATTGAATTTATTTGTGTAAAGTTATCGCTTCCTGGTAACTTTATATACATAACTTGCTCATATATTCCGCCGTTGTCTGAACTTCCAGATTATCTAAATCACCTATCCGTTATTAAGTCCGTTGCAAATAAGCTTTCCGATAGGGATCAGTTGGTAGTTCTAGGTGATTTAAATATACCTGGAGTTACTTGGTCCACTGAGGATGGATCGAATGTCTTACTACCTATTGCAAAGCATGATTTTATTGACGGCTATGGTGGGTGCGATGGTATTCCTGGGTGCGTGCTTAGGTATTGCGCTAAGGCCCTGTGCAAACCTCTTTACAAGTTGTTTACCTTATCTCTAGAAACGTCCCAATTCCCAAATATTTGGAAGGAATCATTTGTTATTCCTCTTTTCAAAAAAGGTAACAAGTTAGAAGCCAGTAACTGCAGAGGTATTTCTAAGTTGTCAGCTATTCCTAAGCTTTTTGAAAAAATTATTACTCCTCATTTGCATCACTTTTGCAGATCAATTATTTCTCCGTGTCAACACGGATTTATTAAACCTAGATCCACAATTACAAACCTTCTAGAGCTCACTACATTTGTGATAAAAGGCTTCAATAGTAGTTTTCAAACAGATGTCATTTACACTGACTTTAGTAAAGCATTTGACTCTGTAAATCACTTACTTCTTATTCAAAAACTTGACATGTTAGGTTTTCCAGTTGATCTGCTTAAATGGATTTCAAGTTATCTGAATGGCAGGTCACAAAGGGTCCTTTTTAAAAATTCAACTTCTGAAATTCTCCGTGTTACCTCCGGTGTCCCACATGGGAACCATCTGGGCCCGTTACTTTTTACATTATTTATTAACGATCTTCCCTCAATTATAAGTCATTCTCGCGTACTTATGTACGCAGATGATGATAAGTTCTGCCTGCAGTATAAGGACATTTCATGCCATTTAGACTTGCAATCCGATCTAGATAATTTTCAAAACTGGTGCCGAGATAATTTACTAAATTTAAACGGTTCCAAGTGCAAGCTGATGACTTTTTATCGGGCCAATCCGATATACGCGACTTACACGTTAAGTAGCAGCTCTTTGGATAGAATAACTCTTGTAAGCGATCTTGGCGTTCTCTTGGACCCTAAACTAGAATTTTCTAATCACATTTCGTCCATGGTTAATAAAGCCAGAGGAGTGCTTGGATTTATTAAAAGGTGGTCAAAAGAATTCGATGATCCTTATTTGACTAAAACTTTATTTATTTCGCTAGTCCGTCCGATTCTGGAATATGGGTCTCCCGTCAACTCACTCCCCTTACACCGATGTCATCAGATCCGAACGACCTCTCAGCTCTTACAGCATCACTTTCTGAAGGGAAGATCTCTGCGTTCCATGGCAGAAAGTATCGTCAACGACTCTAAAGCCAGTACATTGCAACGATTTGAAGCAGTCAAAGCGTTAAAGCAGTCCTTTTGTCATCGCTGGTCTGCAGACTATTTCAACGCACTCCGATCAAGGACCAAATGGACCTCCCCATAGCCAAAGGTCGCCAACAAACATAATGAACCAAAAAGGTTAAATTTTGACTCGTCTGCAAATATCACGTTATCCCAAATTAAAATCAAAAGAAGAATGTTTGTTCATTGTCCCTAATACGGAGCTAGAAAACAAACACCTAAAAGCTACGGTCAAGCATGGCGGGGGTAATGTTGTGGTTTAGGCCTGCATGGCAGCTTCTGGTGGGGCAACCTCGTTTTTATTGACGGGATCAATAAAGGCCAAAATGTACCTACAGATTTTAAAAGAAAGCCAGCTGCAAACTGCTGAAAAACTGGGAATACGCGATCGATTTCGATATTACCTGGATCGTTCCTAAACATTGTTGCATTTCAAGTTGGAACCGGCCGGGAGTAGATCGAAATCGAGGGCAAAAGCCTATCGATAAAAGTTGGTGGGTGGCAACGCCTACTGAAGTGGCGCCCCCTTCTGCTCATGCCCTTGGCTATCTAGCTATTTAAACTAGCCCGGTTCGCTCTGGGTATGGCTAGGATGGCCTTGGATTCGTCCAATGACCCACTTTTGGGAGAGGAAAAGGGAACATGGCGTGATCAGCATGACATTGCGTAGGTCAGGGATAGGGTTTAGTTGCTGCCAGACATCGAAGCCATGTCGACGGGATTTTTATATTTCTTAGCTTAGAATAAGCCAAGAAAAAGTGAGTGCGATTAGTGCGAGTAAAGTTAGGAAATTAAGTGGAAATTTATTTATTTTAGGTCCACCGGGGACCCTAGTACATAGGGCCCCGGCAGTTTCTGTGATTTTCTTCGGTTTTTTTTACAATTTTCTCGGAGGGAGGGCAGCAGCCCTCGTGGTAGTGCGCAGCGGCAACAGCCAACGGCAGCAGCAACAGCCAACGGCAGCAGCAACAGCCACCGGCAGCAGCAACAGCCACCGGCAGCAGCAACAGCCACCGGCAGCAGCAACAGCCACCGGCAGCAGCAACAGCCACCGGCAGCAGCGACAGCCGCAGGCCGCAGCAACAGCCACAGGCGGCAGCCACAGCCACAGCCATCAACACCAACCAACACCGCCGCAGGCAGTTGAGTTTACATACATTACCTCGGTGAGTCCGTTCCGGGCACGTAGAACCCGAGCCGCACTACGCCTCGAACACGACGCGACTCCCAAACAACGCAGCATCTCCGACGTCACGGTCTGCAGTGGCCGGGGCAGGGCGTAATACCGGTTTCCGGACCGCCACGTCCCTTTATAAGGGTCCCAAGTCGTCCTTCGGCGACCCGCAGCCGGCTTTCTCGCCGCACCTGTGGTTAGATTTTAAGATTAATTTTTGTATTTGTAAATTTGTGTACTCACCCTTGTCCGTTTCTGCACGTCTTCGTGATTCCGCGAGCTTGAGTCTGGCCTTGCGCTAACTCGGGGTCTGAAATTGCGAAAGCGGGCTTAGCAGAACTTAATACAATTTATTTATTTATATTTACCTGTCCCTTTTGTGTCCTCTTGGAGCTCCAGCAGGGTAATTAGGAGAGAAAAGAGGTGTTTAATTGATGAAAGCCACTTGGCTTAAACTTTTCTGCGGGGCCAAATTTCCGATTTTAAGACGGCCTTGCAGCTGGTGCAGTCCAGGCCGGGTAGTGGTTTTGCCCTGACCTGTAAGAAATAGTATAAAGAGGAGGGGATATACTTAACATTTATATTTGGAAACCTTATGTATATATTTATAAATAAATGTACTTAGAATGGAGATGAAGATGATGTGGGCCTAAGGCAATTTCCAGCGGGGAGATGAACCGGTCGTAGTCTGGCCTGGCAGTGGCTCCGGCCTCGGAACATGGGTGGTGCCTCCCTCGCTACGCTAGGGGCACCACAGGAAGGGTGGGTGCGCTGTGGCAGCCACATCCAATGCCACTTTTCCGTCCTATTTGTCCCGGGTTGTTTATTTTGTCTTGTTTACCTTTTTTTTTGTCAGAGATGTTAGTATTTGTAGTGTGAGACGTCGATAGTAATCGATATTTAATGTTGTGGGGCTGTAGGGACATTGGGGGAACTCCGCCCTGAGGATTCCGGAGCTAGCCGGGGCCGTCCCAGGGAGAACAATATGCAGTTTGGCGCCCAAACTAAATATAAATGTAAATTGTCGGGACGACGGCGTCTCACCAATTTGCCTTTTTCTTTTCCCCTCAGCCAACACGACCGGTGACTTGCAGGGCAATACAAGTTGCATGCAACTGCATCGGAAGTGGTGGGCTGGGGGAAAAAAATTAAGAGAGCACGGTAGGATTTAGAGCAGACAGGAGGCTTGCCCAGACTGGAGGCAATTTGCTCCTGGTCACAGATCGCAGAAGCAGCGGTGACCTGCGGGTGGCATCTTGGCCCAAAAGGGAAAAGATTTGCACTTGCTGATAGCTAAATCTGTTATTAAAATCAGTGATAAAAAAATCTGTGATAAATTAGGTAGGGTTTAGTTAGTTATTTATTTGATGTAAAGTAATTTGTTTTGTTATATTTTTGTTGTGAGAGTAGAAGTTGATCCTTTGTTTTGGTTTCGTGGGTGTGTTTGATTTTTCATCTCGGTTTTGAACTTAAATGTGTGATCGTGACCCGTGATGGACACGAGCTGCACGATCACCACGACCTGAGAATCAAAACATACGCGCGAAAACAAATCAAAAGGGATTCAACGAGCAGCCGATGTCCTTAACTGGCGGCTATCAACATAGTTGATAGCCAGTCCAGTTGACGAGCGGCGTGTGGAAGGACATATGACGGGAAATAAAATAATTAAGCGCAGAAAGTTTTCGGCACGGAGTCCACCGGCTGGTGACCGGTTCCATCTCCCCAAATTCAAATCTTAAAAGAAACAAATAAAAAGGAAAAATCATAAATATAATATATTATTTATTTATCTATTTATTTATTCTATTTATTAATTCCATTTATTTATCTAAATTATTTATTCATTTTCCCAAGTATTTATTTATTTACAAAAAAAATTATAAATATCTTTCCTAAAATTATACATTTATTTAGTTATTTAAAAATTTGTTTCAATAATTATTATCTGTTCTTACATGTATATATATTTATCTGTTTATTTATTATTTACTTGTCGTTATTATTCTTCTTAAGTATTTATTTCTTTTGGTGATTTGTTTCGGGTGTTATATTAGAATTTTTAGGGAAATATACATATTTTTTTTGTTGCGCTGTACGATGCCTTCCAATTACGATCTCCGATCGAAGGTTCTTCCGGCCGAGGAAGAGGAGAAATTGTGGTCCACCGATTTAGACGAGGTTGCCGGGGCCGAACAGCCACGGATATCGATGGGACTGCCAAGGACTCCGTTGGGTCGTCTTCATCAGGAGCTGCGCAGGGAACTTCAGATGGGAGCAGATCCCGCGCAACATCAAGTTCCGGAGCAAGTGAGCTCGGAGGCGTTTCTGGACAACGCGGCGAAATCGGCAGTAAATGTGGCATTGGCCCAGGCGGCAGAGACCCATCGGAAGGCTCAGGAGTCCGGCGTCAGCCAGTCCTTAAGGGATGAAATCCGACGTGGCTTCCTGGAAATGATGAAGCTGATGAACGAGGTGTTAAGGCCTACTGCTCAGCGGCCGCAGCTTCCACTGGGGAACCATACCGATCAGCAACAGCATCCGGGTTGGACGGACACGGCGGCACCACTGGCTCCAAGTCTGGTCCAGAAAGGGGCGATTCCAAAGACTGCACCATCAGCAGACACGATTGGCTCCCGTCCACCGCCACCAAAGGTTCCACCAAAGCCGCCTAGAAGGCCCTTGGAGTCGTTTCCGGTGGAGAGCAGCAGTCCAGGATATCCTCTGGATGGCGAACGAGGGCGACGCAACGAGTCTCGAAATTGGCACTTCGAGGACCGCAGGGCTTCCGATTTCCGCGAGGAGCCGCGCTTTTATGCCAATACAGGGCCAGGTGGCGGCAGCCAACAGGTTCGCATCGAGCGGTGGGGCGTTTCCTTTGATGGCGAGGACGAGCGAAACTCGGTGGAAGATTTCCTGTTCCGGCTCGAGTTCCTGCAGCGGCAGTACCAGTGCCCTTGGCAGGAAGTGCTCCGCCATTTCCATGTGCTGCTAACCGGACGGGCACGCGAGTGGTATTGGGTCCACGTGCGCCACTGCAGGGTGGAAAGATGGCCACAGCTGCGTGCTGCGCTGATGGACAGGTTCCGAGGCCACCAGACGGAGCACGACCGGATGCATCAGCTTCTGCAGAGGGAACAGCAGCCGGGAGAAGCCGTGGAGGACTATGTCCATGCGATGCAGCAGCTAGCTTCTCGCCTAAAAAAACCACTGTTAGAGCGACAGATGGTAAAAATAATTAAAAAGGGCTTGAGAGAGGGTATCGCAAGATTTGTTTACGCAATGGATGTGATGACTGTGGACGAGTTGAGGGAAGAGTGCTGCGAGGTGGAGCGCAATTTTGGACGACGAGGACGCGCGGCCTATGCGCACCCGATGCGTTATCCTCCGGCGGAGAAGGCCAGGGTTAGCGAGGCAGCTGGTCCCGACACTGCAGAGGATTCCCAGTGGCAGGTGGAGGCGTTACAAGCGAAGACCCGAAATCCGTTCCGAGCGGGCTGCTGGAATTGCGGAGCCGTAGACCACGGGTTCCGTGACTGCGCGGCAACAGAACGGCGCCTGTTCTGCTACCGATGCGGAAGGCCAGACACTGTGTCTCCGAGATGTCCGGATTGCGCGGAAAACGGTCGGCTGGGCGATCTGAGAGCGGGAAGGATGCGTCCAGACAAGAGTCCCGCGATGCAGTAAATGTTCTAGAATGTAAAAAAGGTTTAGTATGTACGAGTAGGAATAAGCACAGTTTAAAATACTTACCTTATGAGGAAAGGATGCGTCGGTACCTGGAGACCAGGAACCGAATTTTCTCCGAGCACCAGTTAGCCGGCATGCGAACGGTGTCTAGGAAAGTCCAGAAGGCCAGGGATCGATTCCGTAAGAGACGAGCGAAGAGGCGAGAAGTGGTTGCCGCTGTGAAGCGCAGTGGAACGGGAGACCCTCGACCATACGCCGAAGTCCGGATCCTGACCCAACAGCTGACTGGCTTATTGGACACGGGAGCTAGTGTCAGCCTGCTGGGCAAAGGTGGAAGAGAGCTCGTCGAGGCGTTGGATGTACCAATCCAGAAGTACCTGTCTGTGGTCCGAACGGCGTCTGGAGAGGATCGCACGATTATAGGACGCGTCGAGCTACCTGTGGAGTACCGAGGACAGATAAAGCGGATCCTGTTCTATGTATGTCCATACCTGGAGCAGAAAGCCTATTTCGGAGTGGACTTCTGGCAAGCGTTTGGCTTGGCTCCAGCGGTGATAGGCCCCAGCGACCCGGAAAGCGTCAAGGCAGACGAAATCCACGCTAGGGATATGGAGCACTACGCCGAACAGGAGGATGACGACGAGGAGAAACCGGATCCCGAATCCTGGACCTTATCCGGAGCCGACGCACGACAGCTCGCTGAGATCCAGGAGGTGTTTCTCACATTTGAGAAGGATGGTCTGGGTACGACGAATTTGGAGAAGCACACGATCGAGCTGATCGAGGGAGCCAAGGTCTTCAAGGATCGGCCATATCCCATGTCTCCAGCGAAGCAGAAGGTTGTCGAGGATGAGGTGGACAAGATGCTAGCGCTCGGAGTCATCGAGGAGAGCATGAGCCCGTGGAGCAACCGGACGACGGTAGTGTCGAGGCCTGGGAAAGATCGGTTCTGCTTAGACGCGCGCAAATTGAACGATTTGACCATTAAAGACGCTTACCCGCTGCCGAGTATCGACGGAATCCTGTCCAGAATCGACCAAACGTTCTACATTTCCAGCGTGGATTTGAAGTTCGCATTCTGGCAGATCGAGTTGGACCCGAAGAGCAAGGAACTGACGGCATTTACGGTTCCTGGTCGGCCTCTCTACCAGTTCCGGGTGATGCCCTTCGGACTTTGCAACGCGGCGCAGCGGTTGGTGAGACTTATGGACCGAGTGATCCCAGCTGAGATCCGTTCCAACGTTTTTGTCTACCTCGATGATCTGCTGATACTGGCTCCAGATATCCAGACACATTTCAGATACCTTCGGCGCGTTGCAGAATGCCTGAAAGAAGCGGGGTTAACGATAGGTATGAGTAAGTCAAAGTTTTGCTTCAAATCATTGACCTACCTGGGCTTTATCGTTGGTGGAGGTCGTCTACGAATGGATCCGGGACGAGTAGCAGCGATCAGGAGGATGCCAGAGCCTAGGACGATGAAGGAGGTGAGAGCGTTCCTTGGGACTGCTGGATGGTACCGCCGGTTCATAAAGAACTTTGCGACGTTGGCCGCCCCACTCACTGAATCGCTGAAGAAAACTGGAAATTCTAAGTTTTCCTTGAGTCCAGAGGCTCAGCTTGCGGTAGAAGCTTTGAAGATGGCTTTAACGACTGCACCAGTCCTGGTGCATGCGGACTTCAAGAGACGGTTCTTTATCCAGTGCGATGCGTCACACGTCGGAGTCGGGGCGGTGCTTTTCCAGCGAGACGACGACGGACAAGAGCAGCCAATTGCATTTTTCTCGGCCAAGATGAATAAACATCAGGTAAATTACACCGTGACCGAGAAAGAGTGTCTCGCGGCGCTCATGGCCATCCGGAAGTTTCGGCCATATGTCGAAGGGATGCCATTCACCTGCATCACGGATCATGCTAGCTTGAAGTGGCTCATGTCCATGAAGGATCTGTCGGGACGTTTGGCGAGGTGGTCGCTGCAACTTCAAGGGTTCCACTTCAACATCGAGCACCGAAAAGGAAGTGAGAACGTCGTGGCAGACACCCTTTCACGGTGTGTGGAGGAGCTCGTAGTGAATCCGACGGATTTGTTGGGTTTCGAAACCACCGAGTTCGCTGGAGAAGGTTATCTCGAGTTAGTGAAAGATGTGGAA